ATCGGGAAAAAGGAAAAAAAAAAAAAAAAAAAAATCAAGTAAAAATGGTATTTGAAAATTAGAGTTATGTTTGGACATAAATATAATTTTGGGTTTTTCTTTTTTATGAGTGATTTGAAGTGGAAAATTTGAAAAATAGGTTTTTGGAGTTTTCAAAATTTTGAAAAATTCTAAAATTCATCTTCAAGTAAAAATCGAAAATTTCATGGCTAATCAATGATTTCGAAAAAAAAAAAAATTCAAAATAAAGGAATCTTTTCTAGGGTATTATCACTTTTAGCCCGTGCCAGAAACTATCTACATCTGGTAGCCGAAAAAGTGTAAAAATTTATATATAATATGCATAATGTGTGTGTGTGTGTGTGTGTGTGTGTATATACACACAAAAAAAATATAAATTTTATATATTTTTCGACTATTATTTTTACAGAGGCTATACAGTGTCATTTTTCCTAAAAAGAATGATTCCTTTTGTATAAAATAATGGGAGTATAGTGAAATCCGCAAGGAGGGATTGGTCGAAGCGGAATGAAAGGGATATTATTAGATAAATGCGATGCTCCTTTCTACGTTAACAATGAAGTCACTTTAGCTAGTAATCCAATGTTTTAAAAGGCAAGGGCGTGAGGCGGACCGTTTTAACTCTGACGAGGCAAGGCGTAAGCCATGAGACATAGGGCGTAAGTTTTACAAATCTTTAAATTTTATTAATTTTAAGATAGTATAAAATAAAAATAATTATAAAAAATACATTAAAATCACAAAATTATAACAAATAATCTATTAAAATATTTATGAGTTATAATTCAACTATGAATAATACGAAAAGTATGACATATATCATAATATGCAAATTAGCTGCAACGTCGTTACAATTCAAACATCAAAAGTAATGTATTCGATACGAAATCTTATACGTATTTCTTAAGGAGTAATGAAGCTTGAAAGAATTTCGATATTATAATTTGATACTTTTTTAAAATACTCCTTTTATTTAATATGATTTCTATTTGAAAGAGAATTTATATAAAAACATAATTCACAATTTAAATATGATTCTCTAGCATCATTTATTTTTACGTTTAAACAAGTTAATAAAGTGACACATAATTCACCATACAATATCATGATAATTAATTATTGTAAATAGTTACTAGCTAATACTGAGCTATTAAATTAGTAAGTATTGTATCTCGTGAACGTGAAAAAAATAATATTTAGGAAAATAATTATAAAAAAGTTATGGACTATTAAATAATAAAAACATAACAAAAGTTAATTAATAAATACTTTTTAAAAGAAAGATTTATTTAGAATTTATATTCATAGCAGTGTTAGTGAATGACGTGCATAAATTTTTTATTTTAATTATGAAATAAAATACTCTCAACTTAATTATTTATGATTTAAAAGAAATTAATTTTGAATAGTCAATAATTTATTAAGAAAAATTGTATATTTACAAGGTTAATTACATACAATTGCATAAAGTTCTATTAGGCGAGCCTAGTACACTGGCGTTGGGCGCGTCCGGGGCGTAAGCCCCGACGACTGAGGCGTAAGTCTCACGGAACTAAGCCCCACACATAAGCCCAGGGGCGTTTTATGAGTGCTCCGCCCTGGAGCGAGCCCCGAGCGAGTCCCAATTCTGACTTTTAAAACAGAAGCCAGTGCCCAAATGTAATTTTCACATTTAACAAAAGCACCAACAATGGCAACCCATCAATTTTATAAACAGTTTCTTATTACTCCCTCTATTTTATCTAATGTATTATTTGACTGCACACCAAAATTAACGCAAAAAAGGGAGATTTATGTATGTTTTAGGCGTTTCATGACATTTTTATTGCTACAAAATATGTCATTAAAAATAAATAAAAAGGTTCAAGTTAAACTGTTACGTGCTAGAAAAGAAAGAGTGTTACGTAAAATAAAGTATATGAACTAAACGTATTCATATTTTTTTCTCTCTCCAAAATATTAAAATTACTGTTTGTCTTGTATTATTACACTTATAGCCTGTTTGGCCAAGCTTTTTTTTGGCCACAAGTGTTTTTTTTTTTGCCAAAAATTGAGGTGTTTGGCCAAGCTTTTGTAAGGAAAAAAAGTGCTTTTGAGGAGAAGCAGAAGCAGTTTTGGAGAAGCAGAAAAAAGTAGCTTCTCTCCAAAAGCACTTTTTTGAGAAGCACTTTTGAGAAAAATACACTTAGAAGCAGTTTTTTAAAGCTTGGCCAAACACTAATTGCTGCTCAGAAGTGCTTTTCAAACTAATTAGCCAAGCACAAACTGCTTCTCACCAAAAGTACTTTGTTGAAAAAAATCATTACTATTCATTCTAAAAGAATGCTACCTATTTATATGTATAGCTCAAATCAAAGTGAAAAATGCGAGTGCACTTATCGGCAAGATAGTGTTTCAGCTAACTGCCTAGCTTTGTGTTTCCTCTTATACAACACATACATGGGAAGAAATAAAAGTTTAATTAGGCGTCTAGTTTTCAAGTTGTAACTCCCTATATCTTTCTTTATCTCTTTTTGCATGTTTCTTTTGCGTTCATTGAACCGTCAGTGTCTGACCAGAATGCAACATTATAGCAATTATCTATTCGATTTTAATCTCTCTAAATATTTGGTCTAAGGATAAAAGACTCAATTATTTTTGTTTGTTGTTATTGAAGGAGCAGTAACTTGAGCGTGTCAGTAGGCTGTAGTTAGTAGCCAATTATGTAATTAGTTAGTTAGTTGGTTAAGTTGTTATATTAGTTGTTGACAACTATAATTAGAGGTTAGAACACATATATATAAGATAGCATTGTATCTCTTCTTCTGTAATGAATCAATTTCTCATTTCCTAAACACAGCTCTTATGATTTGCCTTTTCTCTTAGTTAAGCTCGTTCACTAGCAGTAGCTAGGGTTCCTAATTGAGGTAGTGTAAGGTCGTTAATGGTGATTCTCGACACGGTATCAGAGTTGATGGGCTACTAGTGTGGTCGTTTTACTTGAACGGAGATTTTCGCCGGAATTTGCAGGTGCGTTCAACTAATGGCACTCGATGACGAATTGCCGAAAAAGCTACTTCATAATCATCCGCTTTTTCTAAATGCTAATGATAATTCATGAGTTGTGTTAATATCTCTGCAATTGAGAGGATCAGAGAACTACTCTGTGTGGAGCCGAGCGATGCGAATTACAATTTTAGGTCCCAATAAGTTATGGTTCATCGAAGGCACATGCAGAAGAGAGAGTTATGGTCCGAATCTAGTTGATCTCTAGGAACGATGCAACGCCATAATATTGTTGTGGATAATGAACTGCGTTTCACCTGAGTTGCTCAGTGGAATTGTAAACTCTTTGAGTGCCAGTGCAGTTTGAGGAGAATTGAAAGAGCGATTTGACAAAATCGATTGCTCAAGGATTTTTCAGATTCATAAACAAATTGCAATAATCAATCAAGAACAAGCTCAATTCCTATGTATTTTTCGAAATTGAAGTTGCTCTAGGCAGAATTTGACTCCTTAGCCCCAATTCCAGGTTGTGATTGTGCAAAATTGCGGGAATTTGTCACTTTCATGGAGCGTTTGAAACTCTTACAGTTTCTCATAGGACTGAATGAGTCCTATGAGCAAGCTCGAAGCCAAATCCTCATGATGATTCCAGTTCCTACCATAAATAAGGCATATTCAATGCTTACAGAAAGAGAAAGTCAAATGAGCATGTCAAATTCTTTTACTTCAATCGAAGGAGGTGAATTAACAACCTTAATGACAGCTAGGGCAGAACCTATACAGAGGCCAAAGAAAAACTTCAATGTTCAATGTGATTGTTGCAAGATAAAAGGGCACACACGTGAGGAGTGTTACAAGTTGATAGGCTATCCTGCTAATTTCAAATACAAGAAGAAATGAGGAAATCATGCTGCTCACAATGTGTTTGTAGAATATCACAACTAGAGAGGTCAAGGAGGAGGAAACCAGACTGTCAAAGAGCATCAACACAATGATTCAGACTCATCAAAAGGTCTTTTCTTCAGTCATGATCAATATACTCAAATCCTGAAGTTACTCAACAAGAAAAGTACTGGTGCTGGAGAAAGTTCATCTAACATGACAGGTACACTCAAAGCTTTTCTAGTAGAGAC